CAATCAGACTGAAATCCATCTCTGCCTGCTCTTCTCTGTCCAGTGACTTTTCCAAAACAAGTTCAACATATTTCTTGTCCCTAATCCGACTCCCATAGGAGATGCTAAAGTATTCGTTCTCGGGAGTAATGCTGTATGCCTGCACACTGTTGCTGCCAACATCAAGGTCCAGAGCAGCGTCCAGAGGGAAACGAGAGCCCGGGTCGCTCGTTTCAGGGATCTTAAAAGTGACTCGTTCCTCGGGGAAAACGGGCGAATGATCATTGATGTCCTCGAGGGTGACCTCGACCCGAAAGAACTGCAGCGGGTCGGCCAGCAGCAGCTCGAAGGGGAGCGTGCAGGTGGCGGCCTGGCCGCACAGCTGCTCCCGGTCCAGCCTGTCGGCCACGACGAGGCGGCCGCTGGCGCGGTCGAAGCGAAAATGCTGCCGGCCGTCCTCCGACACCAGGCGGGCGCGGCGAGCCGAGAGCTGCGCGGGCGGCAGCGCCGCGTCCTGCGCCAGGTTGCCTACCAGGGAGCCGCTGTGCACCTCCTCGGCTACGGAGTAGCGGATGGGCTGCGAGCGAGCGAGCGGCAGAGAGAGCAACGCACACACACAAAGCACTTGCCTTGCGATCGCCATGGCCCTCCGGCGCCGGCGGCGGCTGCTGCGGCGTCCTCTCCCCTTCTCGCGGATCTCTCGGGTAGTCCCCTCGGAAAGCGGCGAAGGTCGGGTGCCTTCCTTCTCCCTCTGTATTCCGGAGGGGTCGGCAGCACGGAGTGCGGCCGCTCTGGCCCGGCAGCGGATGGCAGAGAACGGGGCTCGGTGCCGCAGGCGCTGCTCCCTCCGCCCGGCTCGGCTGTTGGGAGCTGGGCTGGGCTTGGCTGTGCTGAGCTGGGCTGCGCTGGGTCGGTGTCGGCGGCGCCTTAGCCGAGACCACCACCCAGCGGTGCGCGGTGGGACTGCGCCCGCCGCCGCCCGCTGCCCGCGCTGCCGCTCGCCCCGGCCCACGGACACGCGCGGGACCTCCGCTCGCCCGCGGGTTCGGCCCGGGGCAGGACGCGAGCACATGAAAGTGGGGATGGAAGTGCCGGCAAGGGTCTGGATGAGCCCTGAGGGGCCGCCGCTTGAGTTCAATAAGATGGGGATGGCTGGAACGTCCCCCGTGTGTGTCTCTGCACACCTCTGCTCACAGCTCGCTTAGAACTGAGAGCTGACAGCTTTCGGCTCCCGGCACGCGAGTCCCTGCCTTTCGAGAAATGGGGCGGTAAAAGCGGCACAAGGAGTTTCCCAACGCAGAGTGAGGCAAAGCTGTGCCCGGAGGGACACTGCTGCCTTCCCTGAGTAAAGGAACCGGCCAGGAGCAGTGGCAGCACAGCAGCAACAGCAGGGACATGGCACTGAACGCTCTATCGGATGCATCTCCAAACTCAAGACATGTACCAGCTAAACACTACCTCACTCAGAGGACACACTGACAAAAAAAAATTCCCAGACTCTTAAAAAACCGTGACAGACCTTTCCAGAACGAATGATTTTACCAAGATTTCTGTCTCCACTCAAGGAATTAGGTGCTCTCTTTATTTCACTCTTAGGCATTATTGCAGTTTTTACACTCGAGGGTATCCTTGTTTACAATGTTACAGTCTATAACTTCAGCACAACACAGCGTGAGGCTTTGGGAATTTTCTGTGCATCACAGACGCCATTCAAGCAGTCAGTTATGATCGATGGGTGTCAGTTCTTCTTTAAGGGAATAGGCAAGTAAATGCTCAAACACAGTTAAGTGAGTTAAAGTAGAAATGACAACAAGGAGAATGCAAATGCTCTCACAGAAACCCAGAAAGTCATGCAGGGACAGCTTTCCACTCCCATCAAGAAGCCTCCCGATTAAGGATCAACACTGAGGACATCAAAGTCCATGTCCTTTTCACAAGTTCATTCTGGTTGTGCCTTCGGAAAATGCTCATTGAAGGACATGTGGAGTTTTCATGCAATGCAACTCAAACACAACAAATATGTTTTAACAACTCTGTACAGTCTACTCCAACACTGTTTGTGCTGCTGTACTGCAAGGAGGCAGAACACATAACCCCTCCTGTGAGCCAAAGGAAGATCTTATTGTGCATTTTGCTGCTGTACTCTACAATAGAGAAGATGAGGCAGATGGAAAGAAAGGGTCGAAATACCCTCCTTGCCTGCTGAGCTGGAGTGGCCTGCATAGAAATGGCTAAATGAGAGCAAATCCCTAATTCAGCAACCAGCACTAGTGCTGCATAGACAGACATACTGACAAGAAAGCAAAGCACACAGAGCCCTCACGTCTCAGCCTGAGACTCTCAGAACCCAGGAAAGAAAGTTCGTATGCTTACACAACGTTTGTGACAGTACTCACAACATCCTAATGTTTCTGAGCTGGGAAAAGGCCTTTGTACATTTCAGCAAGGAGGAGATTTCTCTGCCCAACTGAGCCATTCCGTTACAGGAGAGAATAAATGGTCTACTGTCTTGTGTGACAGCAAGAAGGCCATATGTTCTCTGGGACCGCTAATCCCATTCTTAAGGCCTCTCAGAAATGGCTGAATCAAGTCTGAAACCCAATACTGTCTGAGGGAAAGAGCTTTGGTACCCTTTATTCTGTTTTCTTTGTTTTGCAGTGGAAGACAAGAGCGCAGATCAAAGCGGGGATTGATCTGCCAGGGAGGATCTGAGTGAGCCCTGGGGGAATTCCGATTGACTCCAAGACCATGGGCAGCGTCGGCACCTTCCTTGCCTCTCTGCGCTTTCCATCGCCCACAGTCCTCGGGAAACCGTGAGCTCTCGGCTCCAAGGATCCACCCCCTTCCAGAAAAGCGGCGCTAAAAGCAGCACAAGGCATTTCCAAACAAAGTGTGAGGCAGAGGCTGAGACCAGAGGGACTGAGCCGCCATTCCCGAACAGAAAAACCTACCCTGAGCCTCCGCAGTCACAGCGAAGCCGTAACAGCACAGGCACGACATTGAACACTCTATCGGCAGTGCCTCCAAGCTCTAGACACATATGCAGTCACACAACATTGTCTCAATAAACGGACAAAACGAGAAAAAACCTAACAGACTTTTGAAAAACCTTTTCAGACCTTTCCCGAATGAACGATTCTACAAAAGAGTTCTTCCAAACAAGGAATTAGGCGTGCTCTTTTTATTTCACACTTACACATTTTTTCAGTTTTTACACTCACGAGTATCCCAGTTTAGAATGTTACAGTTTAAAACTTCAGCACAACACAGACTGTGTGAGGCTTTCTGAATATTCTGTACATCACATACATGATTAAAGGGTATCAGTTACTATAGGTGGGGTGACAGTCCTTCTTAAAAGGAATAGGCCAAAAAATTCTCAAGTCCCCTTCCGGGAGTAGAAGGAAATAGGGTAAAAAGGAGAATGCAAATGCTGTAACACAAACCCAGAAAGTTATGCTGGGACAGCTTCCCAGTTCAATTCCCCTGAATTCAGCAACAACAAGGAGAAGACCAAATTCAAAGTCCTTTTCAGAAGCTCACCTTATTTGTACCTTCAGGAAATGCTCTTTGAAGGAGATTTGGAGCTTTCATGGAATGCACCCAAAGACAAAGAACATGTTTTCACACCTCTGTACAGTTACAGCCTACCCCAACACCGTTTGTGCCAATCTATTGCAAGGAGACAGAACACCTGATATCCTCTTATCGGCTAAATTATAGATTTAATTGTGCATTTTGCTGCTCTTCTCTGACACCAAGAAGACGAGACCTCTTGTACTCAAAGTGTTAAAATACCCTCCTTGCCTTCTGAGCTGGAATTGCCTGCTTTGCAATGGCTGAATGGTAGGAATTCCCTGATTCACCGGCCAACAGCAGTGAAGATTAGGAAACACAGAGTGGCTGTAACGAGTGACTTAGTTATTGCAGGTGGTTTTTATGATTGTAAAGAACATAATTATGTTAGTTAAACCAACCTGTATTATAAGTGATTTTTAGGTGTGATATTGTTATCGAGCTGCAGCTTCAATTGTCATCATGTTGCAAGTGGTTGCCATGGACATCGTGCTCAAGAGCTAGTGTCAGCTGCCATTGGACATTTCGTGGAGCCACAGCAGCTCGACCAATCCCTGATTTACCCTGTTGCTATCCTACCCCTACATACATATGTATATGCTCGCTATGATTTATGTATTCCCCTATACCCAATCCAGGTTGGAGGATTAGCATGCTCCGCCCATCTTCCTCCCATATTCCTGAACCTTCCTCCCCAATCCCTATAAAAACCCTCCATTTTCTAATAATGTTGATTCAGCTCTGTTACCCCAATGCTGAGCTAGCTGGTCTTGCATTTCTACTAAATTCCGACAATAGTGACAAGAAATCAAAGCCCTCTGAGCCCATATATGTCAGAGAGAGATTTCCGGAACCCAGGAAAGAAAGAGCTTGGTGCTCACATGGCATTGTGGCACAACACTCACAATTTCCTTCCTTTCCTGAGTTGGGAAAAGTTCATTGTGAATTTCAGGAAGGAAATTTCTGTCTCATCTTCTGTACCATACTCTTACAAATCAGGTCCATATGAAAGGTCCACTGCTATGTCTGACAGCAAGAGAGACAAGAGTTTGAGCTGGGAGAGCTAACTGCATTCCTAAAGCCTCTCAGGAATGGCCTTAACAGACCTGAAATATATGAATATCTGAGTGAGAGGGTTCCCTTTCTTCTGTTTGCTACTTGATTTTAGTGGATCAGGAACATTCCTGACTTACAGTTTCTAGAAATCAGTTATGCCAATTGCAAAAACAGATTTATTTTGGAGGAACCATTCCCACAGGCTGCAGCCTGCATCCCTTCCGACCACGAGGCATGAAGCCTCTGCCTGTGACCACTCTGTGCTAGTTAAAGGAAAGACGATTGAACTGTTCTGCAGACACATTGTCTGGTGTCACATCCTCTGTGGGGACAGGGACACAAGGGAAAACCTGTTCCTCACCGGTGCCCCCGCCCATGGCACAGGGCTGTGGTGGCAGGCTGGGGACGAAGGGCTTGAGGAACCTGAACTCGCTGTTGCCCGAGCCCGTGGTGAGGCTGATCTCGTAGCAGTAGGGGCGGGGCAGGGTCCCTGCAGCAGCTGCATCGGCCAGGCCGCTCTGCAGGTTGTCGGCCCCGTAAAGCACGTGGCCAGCCTTCAGCTGCTTTCTCTGGCACAGCCTGCGAGCCACGAAGGCTGCTGTGGAGCCGAGGAAGAGCAGGGAGACGAAGACCAAGGAAAGGATTAAATAGGTGGTGAGGGAGCCGGCGTCGTGGTCGGCGGCCGGGCTGCTGTGCGGTTGGCGCAGGTCGGAGAAGTCCTTGAGCAGGAGTGCGCTGAGAGCTGCGGTGGCTGAGAGCGGCGGCCGCCCGTTGTCTCGCACCAGCACCACGAGCTTGTGCTTGATGGGGTCTCTGTCGGTGAGCGGCCTCCTCAGCCTCACCTCGCCGCTTTGGGCCGCCACGGCAAAGAGCCCGGGGTCGGTGGCCCTCAGCAGCTGGTACGAGAGCCACGAGTTCTGTCCCGAGTCGGCATCGACGGCCACCACTTTGGAGATGAGGTAGCCCGCCTCGGCCCCCACGGGCACCAGCTCACTGGAGCCTGGGCTGCTGTCCTGCGCTGGGTACAGCACCAGCGGGGCATTGTCGTTCTCGTCCAGCACCACGAGGCGCACGGTGACGTTGGCTCGGAGGGGAGGAGAGCCCGCGTCAGAGGCGCTCACCACCACCTCGCTCTGCCTCAGCTGCTCGTAGTCCAGGGCTCTGAGCACAAACACCTGCCCGCTCTCCGAGTTCACAGACAGGCACGAGCACGAAGGCCGCTCCGCCGCTTGCCCTGCTGACAGGGAATAGGTCACCTTGGCATTGAGCCCCACGTCGGCATCTGCGGCGCTGACGGCTCCAACCAGCACGGAGGGCACATTGTTCTCGCGCACGTACATGGTGTAGGATGTCTGGTTGAAGACGGGGGCGTTGTCGTTCACATCCGAGATGTCCACGGTGAAGGTGTGGGTGCTTGTGAGAGGAGGGGACCCCGCGTCTGCTGCTGTCACGGTGACGATGTGCTGAGCCCTGTCCTCCCGGTCCAGCGCCCTCACAGTCACCAGCTCGTAGTAATTCTTATAGGCTGGCCGCAGGGAGAAGAAGAGCTGATCGTCGAGGGCACACGACACCTTGCCGTTGGCGCCGGCATCCCGGTCCCTGACAGTAAAGAGGGCAACCACCGTGCCGGGCGCTGAGTTCTCGGCGAGGGGACTGCTGAAGGAACTGACCACCAGCTCGGGTGCATTGTCATTCACATCCAACACCTCCACCAACACCTTACAGATTGCCGAGAGCCCCCCTACCATCTGTGGCTCTCACACTGAGCTCGTGAGTCTGTGCTTCCTCAAAGTCCAGAGGCTTTGAGAGTTTAATTTCACCTGTTATGGGATCAATCTCAAATACTGAGTCACTCTTACTGACTCCTTCGCTTAACTGATAGGAGATGTCCCCATTAGTTCCTGTATCCTGGTCAGTTGCCAACACAGTCAGAACCACAGAACCCTCTGGTGTGTTTTCCAGTACCTGCACATCATACACCTCCTGTGTGAAGACAGGAGTATTGTCATTGGCATCCAGAACTGTAATGTGAATTTGGGTGGTCCCACTCCTGGGTGGAGAGCCCCCATCCACTGCAATCAGACTGAAATCCATCTCTGCCTGCTCCTCTCTGTCTAGCGGCTTTTCCAAAACAAGTTCAACATATTTCTTGTCCCTAATCCGACTCCCATAGGAGACACTAAAGTATTCGTTCTCGGGAGCAATGCTGTATGCCTGTACACTGTTGCTGCCAATATCAAAGTCCTGAGCAACCTCCAGAGGCAAACGAGAGCCCGGGTCGCTCGTTTCAGGGATTTTAAAAGTGACTCGGTCCTCGGGGAAAACGGGCGAATGGTCATTGATGTCCTCGAGGGTGACCTCGACCCGAAAGAACTGCAGCGGGTCGGCCAGCAGCAGCTCGAAGGGGAGCGTGCAGGTGGCGGCCTGGCCGCACAGCTGCTCCCGGTCCAGCCTGTCGGCCACGACGAGGCGGCCGCTGGCGCGGTCGAAGCGAAAATGCTGCCGGCCGTCCTCCGACACCAGGCGGGCGCGGCGAGCCGAGAGCTGCGCCGGCGGCAGCGCCGCGTCCTGCGCCAGGTTGCCTACCAGGGAGCCGCTGTGCACCTCCTCGGCTACGGAGTAGCGGATGGGCTGCGAGCGAGCGAGCGGCAGAGAGAGCAACGCACACACACAAAGCACTTGCCTTGCGATCGCCATGGCCCTGCGGCAGCGGCTGCGGCGGCGTCCTGTCTCCTTGTCGCGGATCTCTCGGGTAGTCCCAATCGGAAAGCGGCGGTCGGGTGCCTTCCTTCTCCCTCTGTATTCCGGAGGGGTCGGCAGCCCGGAGTGCGGCCGCTGTGGCCCGGCAGCGGATGGCAGAGAACGGGGCTCGGTGCCGCAGGCGCTGCTCCCTCCGCCCGGCTCGGCTGTCGGGAGCTGGGCTGGGCTTGGCTGTGCTGAGCTGGGCTGCGCTGGGTCGGTGTCGGCGGCGCCTTAGCCGAGACCACCACCCAGCGGTGCGCGGTGGGACTGCGCCCGCCGCCGCCCGCTGCCCGCGCTGCCGCTCGCCCCGGCCCACGGACACGCGCGGGGCCTCCGCTCGCTCACGGGTTTGGCCGGTGCCAGATGCGCGCACATCAAAACCGGAATGAATGTGCCCACAAGAATCGGGATGAGCCCTGTGGGGCCGCCGCTTGAGTTCGATCACAGGGATAGCTCCGGCACCTGCCTCTCCTTTGTCCGCGCTCTGCGCTGCCCACAGCCCGCGGAGAGCCGTGAGCGCTCAACTCCCGGCACGCGAGTGGGTGCCTTTCGAGAAACGGGGAGGTAAAAGCGGCACAAGGAGTTTCCCAACACAGCGTGGCACAGAAAGACTGAGCCACCTTTCCCTAAAGAGAGAAACCGGTTCAAAGCCTCCGACCGGTAATAGCTCGGGTATTGCACTGAACACTCCATCGGCTTCATCTCTAAACTCAATACATATAGCAAGCCAACATTACCTCAGTAAAGGCACACTGATAAAAACTTCCATAAATAAAAACTCCCATGAAAAAAACTCTTGAAAAACCTTGACAGACCTTTCCCAGAAAGAACTTCTCTACAAAGAATTCTGTCTCTACATACGGAATTAGGGTACTCTCTTTATTTCAGTCCTACACATTATTTCAGTTTTTACAATCAGGAGTAACCCCCCTTACAATGCTACAGTTTACAGCTTCGGTACAACAAAGTGTGGGGCTTTCTGAATATTCCGGTTATCACAGATCTCATTCAAGGAATCAATTACTATAGATGAAAGGGGAATACAAATGCTCTAACAAAACCCAGAAAATCATGCAGGGACAGCTTCCCAGTTCTGCGAATTCAGAAATAACAATGAGGAGATAGAACTCAGTCCTTTCCACAAGCTCATCTTGATTCTGCCTTTAGAAAATACTCTTTGGAGGACATGTGGAGTTTGAATGCAATGCACTCAAAGACAATGAACATGCTTTCACAACTCTGTACAGTTCGAGGTTAACCTAACACTGTTTTTGCTACTGTACTTCAAGAAGACAGAACACCCAACCCACTCTTATCGTTCAAAAAAAGAACTTACTAGGCATTTTGCTGCTCTGTTCTGTCCTGCCCTGCAGAAGATGTGACCGCTGTGCTAAAAGGGTCAAAATACCCTCCTTGCCTGCTGAGCTGGAATTGGTTGCATTGCAATGGCTGAATGGGAGCAACTCCCTGTTCCAGGGGCAGCACTAGTGAGGATTAGGAGATACACGGTGTCTGTATTGACTGACACAGTGACAACAAAGCACACAGAGGCCACACTTCTCAGCCAGAGACATCCAGAACCCCGGAACGAAAGAGTCCTTATAACACAGAATAAAAGATCCACAGTCTTGTCTGACAGCAAGAGAGACAAGAGCTACTCTCTTTCTGCTAACCCCATTCTTAGTCTCTCAGAAATAGGCAGAAGGAACTGAAACATACGAATGTCAAAGTGTTTTATTCCTTTTTTTCTGTTTACTTATTGGCTTCTAGGGGAGCACAAGCACTTTAGGACTTAAAATTTGTGGAAACCAGTTATGCTAATTGGAAATACAGGTTTATTTTGGAGGAACCATTCCCACAGGCTGCAGCCTGCATCCCTTCTGACCACGAATCATGAAGCCTCTGGTTCTGCTGACCCCTTGCTAGTTAAAGGAAAGACGATTGAACTGTTCTGCAGACACAATCCCAGCATTCTCTGGGGTCACGTCCTCTGTGGGGACAGGAACACAAGGGAAAACCTGTTCCTCACCGGTGTCCCCGCCCATGGCACAGGGCTGTGGTGGCAGGCTGGGGACGAAGGGCTTGAGGAACCTGAACTCTCTGTTGCCCGAGCCCGTGGTGAGGCTGATCTCGTAGCAGTAGGGGCGGGGCAGGGTCCCTGCAGCAGCTGCATCGGCCAGGCCGCTCTGCAGGTTGTCGGCCCCGTAAAGCACGTGGCCAGCCTTCAGCTGCTTTCTCTGGCACAGCCTGCGAGCCACGAAGGCTGCTGTGGAGCCGAGGAAGAGCAGGGAGACGAAGACCAAGGAAAGGATTAAATAGGTGGTGAGGGAGCCGGCATCGTGGTCGGCGGCCGGGCTGCTGTGCGGTTGGCGCAGGTCGGAGAAGTCCTTGAGCAGGAGTGCGCTGAGAGCTGCGGTGGCTGAGAGCGGCGGCCGCCCGTTGTCTCGCACCAGCACCACGAGCTTGTGCTTGATGGGGTCTCTGTCGGTGAGCGGCCTCCTCAGCCTCACCTCGCCGCTTTGGGCCCCCACGGCAAAGAGCCCGGGGTCGGTGGCCCTCAGCAGCTGGTACGAGAGCCACGAGTTCTGTCCCGAGTCGGCATCGACGGCCACCACTTTGGAGATGAGGTAGCCCGCCTCGGCCCCCACGGGCACCAGCTCACTGGAGCCTGGGCTGCTGTCCTGCGCTGGGTACAGCACCAGCGGGGCATTGTCGTTCTCGTCCAGCACCACGAGGCGCACGGTGACGTTGGCTCGGAGGGGAGGAGAGCCCGCGTCAGAGGCGCTCACCACCACCTCGCTCTGCCTCAGCTGCTCGTAGTCCAGGGCTCTCAGCACAAACACCTGCCCGCTCTCCGAGTTCACAGACAGGCACGAGCACGAAGGCCGCTCCGCCGCTTGCCCTGCTGACAGGGAATAGGTCACCTTGGCATTGAGCCCCACGTCGGCATCTGCGGCGCTGACGGCTCCAACCAGCACGGAGGGCACATTGTTCTCGCGCACGTACATGGTGTAGGATGTCTGGTTGAAGACGGGGGCGTTGTCGTTGACATCCGAGATGTCCACGGTGAAGGTGTGGGTGCTTGTGAGAGGAGGGGACCCCGCGTCTGCTGCTGTCACGGTGACGATGTGCTGAGCCCTGTCCTCCCGGTCCAGCGCCCTCACAGTCACCAGCTCGTAGTAGTTCTTATAGGCTGGCCGCAGGGAGAAGAAGAGCTGATCGTCGAGGGCACACGACACCTTGCCGTTGGCGCCGGCATCCCGGTCCCTGACAGTAAAGAGGGCAACCACCGTGCCGGGCGCTGAGTTCTCGGCGAGGGGACTGCTGAAGGAACTGACCACCAGCTCGGGTGCATTGTCATTCACATCCAACACCTCCACCAACACCTTGCAGATTGCTGAAAGGCCCCCTCCATCTGTGGCCCTCACACTGAGTTCGTGGGTCCCTGCTACCTCGAAGTCTAGAGGTTTTGAGAGTTTAATTTCACCACTCTTGGGATCAATCTCAAATCCTGAATCACTCTGGCTCACTGCGTGACTGAACTGATAGGAGATGTCTCCATTTACTCCTACATCCTGATCAGTTGCCAAGACGGTCAATACAACAGAACCCTCCGATGCATTTTCCAAAACCTGCACAGTGTACCGATCCTGTGTGAAGACGGGAGCGTTATCATTGACATCCAGAACTGTAATGTGAATTTGGGTGGTTCCACTCCTGGGTGGAGAGCCCCCATCCACAGCAATCAGACTGAAATCCATCTCTGCCTGCTCCTCTCTGTCTAGGGGCTTTTCCAAAACAAGTTCAACATATTTGTCCCCATTACTCCGACTGCCAAAGGACACACTAAAATACTCGTTCTCGGGAGAGATGCTGTAGGCTTGGATGGCGTTGCTGCCAACATCAAGGTCCCGAGCAACCTCCAGAGGGAAAAGAGAGCCCGGGTCGCCCCTTTCGGGGATCTTAAAAGTGACTCGTTCCTCGGGGAAAACGGGCGAATTGTCATTGATGTCCTCCAGGGTGACCTCGACCCGAAAGAACTGCAGCGGGTCGGCCAGCAGCAGCTCGAAGGGGAGCGTGCAGGTGGCAGCCTGGCCGCACAGCTGCTCCCGGTCCAGCCTGTCGGCCACGACGAGGCGGCCGCTGGCGCGGTCGAAGCGAAAATGCTGCCGGCTGTCCTCCGACACCAGGCGGGCGCGGCGAGCCGAGAGCTGCGCCGGCGGCAGCGCCGCGTCCTGCGCCAGGTTGCCTACCAGGGAGCCGCTGTGCGCCTCCTCGGCTACGGAGTAGCGAATGGGCTGCGAGCGAGCGAGCGGCAGGGAGAGCAACGCACACACACAAAGCACTTGCCTTGCGATCACCATGGCCCTCCGGCGCCGGCGGCGGTGGTGGATTCCTGTCTCCTTCTCGGTGATCTCTCGCGTAGTCCCTGCCGAAAGCGGCGGCGGTTGGGTGCCTTCCTTCTCCCTCTGTATTCCGGAGGGGTCGGCAGCCCGGAGTGCGGCCGCTGTGGCCCGGCAGCGGATGGCAGAGAACGGGGCTCGGTGCCGCAGGCGCTGCTCCCTCCGCCCGGCTCGGCTGTTGGAGCTGGGCTGGGCTTGGCTGTGCTGAGCTGGGCTGCGCTGGGTCGGTGTCGGCGGCGCCTTAGCCGAGACCACCACCCAGCGGTGCGCGGTGGGACTGCGCCCGCCGCCGCCCGCTGCCCGCGCTGCCGCTCGCCCCGGCCCACGGACACGCGCGGGGCCTCCGCTCGCCCGCGGGTGTGACCGGTGCCAGATGCGCGCACATCAAAGCCGGTTAGGATCGGGATGAGCCCTGTGGGGCCGCCGCTTGAGTTCGATGACAGAGACAGCTCTGGCACCTGCCTCTCGTTTGTTCACGCTCTCCGCTTCCCACAGCCTGTGGGGGACCGGGAGCGCTCGGCTCTCGGCACGCGAGTCAGTGCCTTTCGAAAAACGGGGAGGTAAAAGCGTCACAACGCGTTTCCCAACACAGTGTGACACAGATTCTGAGCCTGGAAAGACTGAACCGCCTCCCCTGAAGTGAGAAACCGGTTCAAAGCCTCCGACCGGTAACAGCTCGGGCATTGCACTGAACACTCTATCGGCTGCATCTCCAAACTCAACACATACAGACAGCCAGCATTACCTCAGTAAAGGAACACTGACAAAAAAACTCCCACACTGTTGAAAAACCTTGACAGACCTTTCCCAGAAAGAACTTCTCCACAAAGGCTTCTCTAACCACGCAAGGAATAGGAGTGTTCTCTTTATTTCACTCTTACACATTATTTCAGTTTTTCAGGTGTATCCCAGTTTACAATGCTGCAGTTTTTACAACTTCAGCACAACACAGTGTGGGGCTTTCTCAATATTCTGTGCATCGAAGACATTTAAGTAATGTTACTATAAATGCAGTGACAGTTCTTCTTAAGAGAAACATGCAAGAAAATGCTGAAACACAGTCTGGGGGAGTTAAAGTAGAAATGGCAAGGAGGAGAATGCCCATGCTCTCACATAAAACCAGAAAATCGTGCAAGGACCCCTTGACCACCAATTCCACTGAGTTCAGAAACAAAAATGAGGAGATCCATCTCAAAATCCTTTTCTAAAGCTCATCGTCATGCACAAAATGCTCTTTGAAGGACATGTGGAGTTTGCATGGAATGCACCCAAAGACAATGAACGTGCTTCCACAGCTCACTGCAGTTACGGTCTAACCACACATCATTTCTGCTGCCGTCCTGCAAGGAGACAGAACACTCAACCCACTCTTATTGGCCAAAGGAAAATCTTTCTGTGCATTTTGGTGCTCTGTTCTGCCCTGTCCTGGAGAAGATGTGCACCCTGTGCACCGTTGTGCTCAAAGAGTCAAGATACCCTCCTTGCCTGCTGAGCTGGAATTGGCTGCATTGCAATGGCTGAATGGGAGCAACTCCCTGTTCCAGGGGCAGCACTAGTGAGGGTCAGGAGACAAAAGGTGGCTTTATTGACTGACACAGTGGCGAGAAAGCACACGGAGGTCACACTTCTCAGCCAGAGACATCCAGAACCCAGGAACGAAAGAGTCCTGTGCTTACACAACACTGGAACACAACACTCACAACTTCATCATTTTCCTGAGCTGGGAAAAGGTCTTTGTGCATTTCAGTGAGGATGAGATTTGCCTGAACAAATGTGCCATTCTCTTACAGCACGGAATAAAAGATCCACAGTCTTGTCTGACAGCAAGAGAGACAAGAGCTTAGCTGGGACGGTTAAGCCATTCCTAAAGCCTCTCAGAACCGGCCAGAGAAGAACTGAAACATATTATTGTAAGAGTGACAGTGCTTTAGTTCCCTTTATTCTATTTCCTTGTTTGCTGCCCTCGCTGCAGCTCGCCCCGGCCCACGGACACGCCCCGGTCAGGACGCGCGCACATCAAAGTGGGGATGGAAGTGCTGGCAAGGATCTGGGTGAGCCCAGGGGGAATTCGGATTGATTCCGAGCGCAGGAACAGCGCTGGCACCACCCCTGCCTCTCCGCACTCCCCGCCGCCCACAGTCCTCGGGAAACCGTGAGCTCTCGGCTCCGGGCAGGAGGGTTTGCCCCCTTCGAGAAACGCGGCGCTAAAAGCAGCACAAGGCGTTTCCAAACACAGCGTGAGGCAGAGGCTGAGCCCGGAGGGACTGAGCCGCCTCCCCTAAAAAGAAATACCGACCTTGAACCTCCGCAGTGGCTGCACAGCCGTAACAGCACGGGCACGGCCTTGAACACTCTGTCGGCAGCGTCTCCAACATCTAGACACACATGCACTCACCCAGCATTATCTCAATTAACGGACAAACCGAGAAAAAACCTAGACTTTTGAAAAACCCTTTCAGACCTTTCCCGAATGAACGATACCACTAAAGATTCTTCCCAACAAGGAATTAGAGTGCTCTCTTTATTTCACACTTACACATTTTTTCAGTTTTTACACTCACGAGTATCCCAGTTTAGAATGTTCCAGTTTAAAACTGCAGCACAACATAGACTGTGTGAGGCTTTCTGAATATTCTGTGCATCACATACATTATAAAAGGTAGCAGTTACAATAGGTGGGGTGAAAGTCCTTCTTTAAAATAATAGGTCTAAAATGCTCAAGTCCAGTTCCGAGAATAGAAGGAAATAGGGT